CTCAGGAAAGACAGGCGGAAAGAACCTGGCTCGTGCAGGGGTGGAGGAGGTCTCGTCCTTGCTCTCTAATTGGAAGCAATCCAGCGCAGAAGATGCATGATCAGGAATTGGGAGAAGATCTTGAATGCCCAGGGTCACTTTTGCATCTCCCTGGACAGAGGCGCGTGCCTGGCCCTGTGGCTTTAGCAGCACCACCTTGTGTCTTCAGGGCCTAGTAGAACTGATGAGAAAAACGAGGAGGCGGGAGGAAGTTTTTAGAGAAGTCGCCTTCAAAGTGAGGTGCTCTGGAGGGAAAGGAATTGTCAATTCTGTGCTTAATCAGCAAGGCTCTGGAGTAGGTGCTTAACTTTGCTGAAGGCGCTAAGTTCCTGTGCTGAAATGCCTTGCTGGATGGGAATTTGTATTGCAGAAAAGTGGGACACAGTGCAGAAAATCACCCGCATAGGCAGCAGCGAGGGTTAATATGACCTAAGAGGGATTACAGCTACCTTTGTTATGGAGAGAGCAAGCCAGACCTGGCAATCTGGCACGCGGGCAGGAGCAAGGGAGCCGCGTGCGTGTCCCGCGTGCCCCCCGCCCGAGAGCTGTGCTGGGTGGCACAAGTGTCCCCCCAGCGCGGGCTGTCCCTCGCGGTGCCACCTCTGCATGGACAGGCCGGCTCTGCGGGAAGGCGCCGGTGCAAACGCCGACGTGCCGGCGCCTGCCCGGAGCTGCCAGCCTGTCCGTGCGCGGCTGGATCTGGGAATGCGAACGTCCTGGAGAGGCGAGATCCCGCTGGATGAGCCCTCCTTGCGCGGAACAGCCCCAAAGAGCCTTCGCTGCAAGCCCCAGCGCAGGGCCCGGGGGCAGCAGCTTCATTGTAGGGTGGCAGAGCTGGACTGACAACCCCAGTCAGGGTTTTAAGATTTTTGTAGGACTCATGAAGCTCTTGCATTTTCGTTGCATTTGGGTGATTTGGGGCGTTGCCACCAGAATCCTACATTCCCCCACCCCAGCGTACCTCTTTTCAAGGGAAAATTGGCCCATTTCCCTTCCCTGTTTCATGCAGAGGGCCTGGCACAAGGCTCTATGCAGATACATCACGTTGCAGCCTTTAATTACAGTCACACATGGATTTTTTTTTTTCCTGACATCCAGTGCCAAGGATGGATGCAAAGAGGTCGCTCAAGGTTATATGGAAAACTAAATCTGGCTTTTCCTTAACTTCAAGTGATTTCTTCCCCACTGAAACAAGCCTTGTAATGAAGGTTGGTATGTATTTACACCCGTTCACACAGAGACATGAATATACTTACAGAAAAATGCATGCAGTAACTCCAGCTTTACAATGGGATGTTGATTTAATTTTCCTCTTACACAAATCTCCAAGCAGTTTGTTTAATTGAAGCTTTCAGAAGCCCTGTAAGGTAGGGTGTTATTATACCCGTTTTATGCAGGAGGAAGAGAAGCAGGGGGCAAATCCTGCCGAGAATAATATCCTCCCATTTGCTAGGAAGTTAATAGCAATCGAGGACGGGGAAGGGGTTGCTGGCACATAGGGGAAAGGCAGCACCTTGTTTCAGATAAAAGTGGAGCAAATTATGTTTTGCCAGCACCGAGCACTTGGGGGAAGCAAAATATAACTCCCGTCTTGCTCCTTTTCCTTCCTGTGGGTGTTGGTTTGTCTGGACAGGGTTGGGCTGCCTCTTCCATGTCC